AAGAGCAGTCAGTGCTCTTAACCTTTGAGCCATCTCTCCAGCCCGAGAGTGTACTACTTTTGTAGAGGACTCAAATTTGGTTCCTAGCACACGTTAGATGTTTCACAGCTGTCTAACTCTAGCTTCTCACCTCGGGACTCAAGTCACCTGCACTTATAGGTACATACATATATACATAACTAAAGTAAAAGATGAATGTTTAAAGAAAGTGAAACAACAGAATATCAGCTTCAAAACCCACCATTGGAGTTGGAGAGGTACCTTAGTGGTTAAGAGTAAACACTGCTCTCAGAGGATTCAGATTTGGTTCCCAGTACCCACATAGGGCAGCTCACAACTGCTCTTAACTATCCCCAGGGCACCACAACAAACCCCCCAATACACATCAAAAATGAAATCTTTAGGGGAAGGAGAGATGGTTCAACAGTTAAGAGCACTGACTGCTTTTGCTGAGGACCTGGGCTTGGTTCCCAGCACCCACATGGTGGGTGTTTCAGAGGTTCCAGATCCCCTCTGGCCACTGCATATAGACATAGTGCACAGACATAGGCAAAACACCCATATAGGGCTGGAGAGATGGCTCAGTGGTTAAGAGCACCAGCTGCTCTTCCAGAGGACCCAGGTTCAATTCCCAGTACCCACATGGCAGCTCACACTGTCTGTATCATCTGTTACAGGGGATCTGACCTGTCACACAGACATGCATGCAGGCAAAATACCAATGTACGTAAACTAAAAATAAATTACTTAAATAAAATACCCATATACACAACATTTTAAACCATCTGGGCTCTGTCTAGTGCCTAGGGGCTGTATTAATTCCAGCTACTTGGGAGGCTAGGGCAGAGGGTCACAAGTTCAGCCTGTATGCATAGAGTGAGGCTTTGTCTCAAAATTATTTTTAAAAATAAGAGTTCTGGAGATACAGTTCAGATATAGAATGCCTCCAGGCATGAAGCCCTAAATTCAATTCCTAAATTTAAAAAAAAAAAAACTGCCGTTACTACACCTCAGTATCCTGATAGTAAAATCAATACCATAGGAGAGGATGGGGAGGCAGCTCAGTGTTTAAGAACATTTACTGCTCTTGTGGAGGACCTGGGCTTGGTTCTCAGCACCTACATGGTGGCTCAGAGCCATCTGTAACTCCAGTTCTAGGGTATCAAACATCTGGTCTCAGGTACCAGACCCCCTCAAGGTGTACGTATATACAAGTAGGCAAAATGTTTATACACAAAAAAAAACATTTTTTTAATGTGTGGGTGGGTGGGGTGGGGAGTGGGCAGCAAGTTGAGGTGTGTAGGATCAAAAAACATTACATGAATAATGAATAAACTGAAATAAAAAAAAACAAACCTGCTGTTAATAAACTGACACCAGTACAAAACAGACAAATACCCAACAACAACAAAAAGGAGGATGATACATGAAAGGCTTCATTCCAATGCATAGCTTGTTTCAGCAGCTCATTCCAAGAAGCTAGAAAAACACAGCTCAGCACAGCAATCAATGCAAAGAAGTCTGGGAAACATTACTCATTTCATACAATAAATACAAAAATAAATAGGATGTGGATGAAGAGCAAACCTTGTATGCAGACTACAACTGTTTTTTGTATTTTAAATATGGAAAAGCTATAAAAGTGGGGAAGAAGGGGCACATGCTTGCTGAACAGCAGCTCAGTTGTACGGTGCTAGGAGCAAACACAGGGCCTCACATTGCTTCATAGGTACTCTGCCATAGCCTCTGCCTCCTGAGTGCTGGGATTAAGGCGTGCGCAACCAACACCCGACTGGTACTCTGCCACAGCCAACTCCAGCCCACAGTTACACACTCTGATGTTTTTATGTACCAATTATAGCCAGTTAGAGGACAGAAGAAGAGAAATATTTTGTTGGTAACAGGAGCAAAATCTGTTAAATAGGAATAAATTTTTTAAAGATTTTATTTATTTATTATGTATACAGTCTTCTGCCTGCATGCCAACAGAGGCCACCAAATCTCATTCAAGGTGGTTGTGAGCCACCATGTGGTTGCTGTGAATCGAACTCAGGACCTCTTGAAGAACAGTCAGTGCTCTTAACTGCTGAGCCATCTCTCCAGCCCCATATATTATTAAATAGTAGGTTATTTATTTATTTATTTATTTATTTTGGTTTTTTTCAAGACAGGGTTTCACTGTAGCTTTGGAGCCTATCCTGGCATCACTCTGTAGACCAGGCTGGCCTCGAACTCACAGAGATCCGTGTAAATAGGAATAAATTTAACACAGATTCACTCCTAAGACCTTCAGGGACAAAAAGAGAAAAGTGTTGGGCTGGAGAGGTGGCTCAGAGATTAAGAGCACTGTCTGCTCTTCCGGAGGTCCTGAGTTCAATTCCCAGCAACCAGCAGCCAGAGGTGGCTCACAACCATCTGTAATGAGATCTGGTGCCCTCTTCTGGTCTGCAGGGATAAATGTAGACAGAAAACTGTACATAATAAATAAATTAATCTTAAAAAAATAAAAAAGTGTTGCAGGAGGTTTTAAAAGTAGACCTAGACTAAAGGAATCAGTGCACATCTGAGTATGTAAAGACGTGTGCCATCTCCAGATCATGAGTCATTAATACCATTTCAATAAAAACTCCAACAAGGATGTAAGAAAAAGAAGCTGGAGAGATCAGTTTCAGTAGACAGATCATGACAGTATCCTTAGTAACAGTAATTAAGAGTACTGTAATGAAGTAACTCAGAGGCTGAGGCAGGAGTTTGAATTTGAGGCCGGTCTAGGCACTTGAGGACAAAACAACCCAAATGGAGTGGTGTGTGTGATACAGAACAGAATACATATTTATGTGTAGACAGCACATTTACAATATTTACAATAGACAGCACAGAAGCTGGGTGTTAGGGTACATGTCTGAAAATCTAGTCACCTTGCATCACCTTTGGTACCATGCCTTGCTTGGTGTGCCTTGATGCTGCTTGTGTGTGTGCATGCTTGCGCACAAATGTGTGGGTGTGTGTGCATGTGCTTATGGAAGCCAGGGCTGGACTTCGGGTGTTGGTTCTCAGGTACTATCAGGCTTTGCTTGACCAGGGGGCCCAGGGGCCCTCCAGTGTCTGCCTCCTCACTGCTGTGGCTACTGGTGTGCACAGTCACACTGAGGGTTACTGTGCTTGGCTTTTTTATGTGGGTTCTGGAGGTTGAACTCAGGTCTTCGTGCTGTGTAGCAAGCACTTTATGGGCTGGGGCTATAAACCCCAACACTTAAAAAAATTATATCATTGGGTTAAATAAGGCCATTTTATTATGCAAATATGTAAAGTACCTTGAGTGTATTTTCCCCCAGTCCCTGCTACCCTTTCCCTTTAGTCTCTGTTCTCCTAGGCAGTGTTGCTTCTACTTTGTCTTCTGCACCTATGTTTGTGATCTTATAGAGAAAAATCATTCATTATGATTATTTCTGTTGAGTATTGAGTATTGCGTGCTGCGTGTGCTCAAAGATGATCGGTAGTCCGTAAGGCTAAGATTTCTTTATTCAGATAAACACCAGCCCAAACGCAAGCCAGAGCATGCCCAGAGGCCGCAAGCTAGCGTGGCCAGAGAGAGGGGGCATACACGTGTGTGTGGTCCCTTAAGAATTGTCCCCAAGTCATCTTTGACCTCCCCTGACCACGCCCTCATGGGTGTGGCCAGGCACACCTGTAGGGGCTACTAGGAGGCGGGGCTACAGTGTCTACCTACAATTCCCCTTTGAGTCTAAAAGAGGATACAGACTTAATAGTGGAAAACATCCAAAATTAACAATCATAAAGGTGAAATACAAGAAGATACAATAATCTGCTATTACACATCCTAACTACGTCTATTCTGGCTAAGCTCTAAAGTCATGTGGAAAGGGTGTCTAACTTGAACACCTCCATTGTAGGGAGACGCTGTAGCCCCGCCTCCTGGTAGCCCCTACATATTTCCAGTTGTACCCATCATCTTGCAAATGACATACCTTTTTTATGGCTGAAGAAATTTATGGACACAGGTTGGTTTCATAACTCTGCTACTGTGAGTACTGTAATAAACACGTGCAATTACTTCTGCTATGTTGACTTGGAGTCTTTCTCAGTGAGCTTGTCAGTTCCCTCAAGCCACCATTGTCCTCACCTCACCAGTTGTCTTCCAGTTACTGCTGTGCGTGCTCTACCCCTCCCCCCCCCTGAAAAAAAAGCATGGCATCTTGGCTATCATCCCTGCCCTGTAGTCCATATGTTTATTACAGAGGACGGTGAGCTCCCTAGATGTGATTTCTATCCCATGACCTTTCCCCAAATCTCCAAAACACTGAGTTGTCAGCATAAAACCATTCTCCCTTGTGGGACATTCTCCTCACTGACCCGAATGCATGCATGGTCAGCATCCTCCCAAAGCTCTCCTAGGCTCTGCTAGTCTGGCCATGCTGTCCTCAACTCTACCCTGATAGATGATGCCTTCTACCTCAAATGCCTCCCAATGCTGCTGTGTGCGCCTCTTGCTAACCCCCATTCCTTCCCTGAGCTCAGTACTCCCAAGGTTACTGTGTCCGTCTCTCAGGTCTCTCAGTCTGGGTGCTGGCTTTCATCACAGTCACCTCCCACTGCGCTGTCTCTGTGGAGTCCCTTGTCGTCTTCCCTAGAGTTAGGAGCATCATGAAGAGAGTCTTGTACCTCAGATGCAGTGCTCTCCTCACTTCCTTTACTCTCCCTCTCCCCTTCTCTTCCTTGTGAAGATTTCTTTCTAGCAGCATTTGGAAAAAGCCAATAGAAATGACCCTATTCTCAAAAAGACTGCATTGGACTGGATTCTAGAAAGATTTAAAAAAAAAATGCAGCCAATTCTCCTTCACATCTTTATTTCTTAGGGAGTAGGAAGCCAGCCAACAAAACAAAACAAAAATCCCTGTGGGTGGCATGGAGGCAAAGCCACTGAGTTGAGTAGGAGGCTACATGGACCTCTGATTGGCAGCTTTGCTCCTCCTCCCTAGGTCCTGGAGGAAGCAGATGTGGGCCAAGCAGTACTCCCAGCACGTGTGTCGCTGCCTCCACAACCATATTCCTCCAGTAGGCTTCCACTGGAGTAAGGGTAAGCTTTTAGGTTTGTTGGGGAAAGCTCTGCAAGTCTAGACAGCAGATTGGATACAGTTGCTTCTGAGCTGAAAGGCAGACCCAGACTGGAAGCTCCCTAATGCAAGTCACTGTCAGTGCAGGGGACAGCTCTCCCCTCAGACCTATGCTGTACATGATCCCAATGCATCCCACAGACAAAGCTTCTACGGATACTTTATTACCTTCCCAGGACCACAAGCCAGCACATCCTGGACCACAGTCAACTCTAACCCAGTGTCAAACTCCCCCTTGTGTTGCTAAGTCAGATGGTGAGGAGGCCTGTGCTGTGTGCCTTCCACAGAAATGCATGTATGTGTCTTCAGATCCAGCATATACTCAGCTGGGACAAAATGCCTCTGCTTTGGACATGGAGTACATTCCAGTTTGATCAATATGAATTTTACTTTCTTATGTGAGGATTTGTGAGCCTTGCAGAATTTTTATACTCCTTTGTTTTAGAATTTTGCTGAAATAGATGAAGCAGAAAACTAAACTCCTGTGGAGCTCTGGCTATCCTGGAACTTTCTCTGTAGACCAAGCTAGCTTCAAACTCACAGAGATCCACCTGCCTCTGCCTCCTGAGTGCTGGGATAAAAGGTGTGCACCACCACTGTCCAGCTACAGTCCTTGCCTTAATCTAGTTGGTTGTTATACCAAACTACGGTAAGGCAGGTGGTTTATACACAACAGACTGATCCCTCATAGCTGGAAGGAAGCTGGGAAAAAACAAGATTAATATGTGGGTAGAGTTAGTGAGGCCCAATGCCTGCTTCAGAGATGGCTACCTTCTCACTGCATTCTGCAATGGAGAGAATCTTCTTGAGGTTTTACTGAGTTTATACAGAAAGAGTCTGGTGTAACTCAGGCTGCCCTTGGAACCTGGTCCTCCTGGCACCACCTCCAGAGTGCTAGTCTACAGCAGGTGCCATCACACCTAGCTTTCCGGAGCTTCTTTTATAAAGGCATCAATCCTGTTCAGGAGAGCTTTGCCTGATCATCTTAGAGAGGCAGTCATGTGCCAACACCATCATATTGGGAATCAGGATTTCAATGTAAGAACTGGGGAGGAGAAACACACAAAGCAAAGCAGAGCTGGACTTTCAAGTAGAATTTGGAAGGTAAATAAATTTTCCTAGCAGAGCTCTTTTGGAGCTGGTTTAGTCTGTCCTATCATTCTCTCACACCCTTCACTCTCTGCCTGCCAGTCTTTCAATGCAGCAGTTACTATGCTATATGCTAATACAGAAGGACATTCCGGGTGGCACTGGATTAAACAATATTATTACTGCAGGAAAATGCCAGCGGGAAGGTCATTCCCCAGAGTCCAAAATAACCCACAAGAGGCAAAACCAAAACCAGAAAGTTGCTGAAACCTTGTATAGGAGGAATGGGAAGTGTAAATATTGGAAGTAGAACATGCTTCTTTCTCAACAAAACCTAACACATGGCAACCGAGACAAGCTTGCATGTTAGTGTGATTGAGCTGCTCGGTGTCCTTTCTCAGTGTGTCCCTGAGGGGTCACAAAAAGGTCTGTTGTTGAGCTGAAGACAGATGCTGGGAAAGGGCTCTGTGGTCCTGCTCCATTGTCAGGTTGGTTTCCCTCTCCCTTGGAGACACTAGGTTTCAGTGTGCTTTTCATTCTCCTAGCCGCCTGAGCAAATGGCCGTCACTGTTTCCATTGTGAGGTCTTCTCTTTGGAATGGAGCCAATTTCAGGGAACATGTATTTGAGACCAACATTTGGCAATTTGGGTTCCTACTTGGACTGATTTTCTGCCTCTGCCTTTTCTCCCACAGTGACTCTGCCAAACAGATTTGATTTGAAATGTTGATTCGTAATCCTTGCTGGCTCATCTGGATTAGGGCAAAATACCAAATTCAAACTCAGAGCCCCTAGGTTGCTAGGTTAATGGAAAAGTTCTCCCCAAACACCACTCTCAAGTGCCTGTTCCCTGTCACTAATTTACTGAGGCCATATGCATGTCACAGTATTAATAGATTAAAGAAAATATCTCATGCTTTATATATCCAATTATAAGGTTTATTTTGCTTTTTGTTTGTTTTTGAGAAAGGGTCTTACTATGTAGCCCTGGCTATACTGGAACTCACTAGACCAGGCTTGCTTTGAACTCACAGACTATCTGCCTACCTCTGCTTCTCATGCCCAGATCAAAGGTATGTGCTACCACACTTCACCCAATCAAGAGTTTTTTGTTGTTGTTGTTTTGTGTTTTTAATGGGACTGGGGTAATAGCTCAGAGGTAGAGAGAAAACTTGCTTAGCATGTGCAAGATACTGAGTTTGACTCCTGGCACCACATACATACACAATTTTTTAAAATGAGAAATCCTAGCTTACACTTGAAAGAAAACAAACATCCTAATTGTTGCAACTTTATTTTGTAGTACAGAATGGAGGTCAGAAGTCAAAGGTTAGATTCCTTCCCTACATGCAACTAGAAGTTGATGGCAGAGGTGGCACTACAATGAGATTGCTTCAATGTCTGCTATCTCAAGTAATTAATAAGGCCCTTTTTTCTTTCACATTCTAATTAAGGTAAAATTACATTTTAAAAAGTGCATAGAGGGCTGGAGAGATGGCTCAGAGGTTAAGAGCACTAACTGCTCTTCCAGAGGTCCTGAGTTCAATTCCCAGCAACCACATGGTGGCTCACTAACCATCCGTTATGAGATCTGGTGCCCTCTTCTGGTGTGCAGATATACATGGAAGCAGAATATTATATACATAATAAATAAATAAAATCTTAAAAAATAAATTCTTTAAAAAAAAGCCACAGAATGTAACTGTGGACCTTAATAACTTCCACAAGATATGAATTCCTGTATTTAATACTTCACTTAAAACCCAGATTGTTAGCCAGGCGTGGTTGCACACATTTGTAAGAGCATTCTGAAAACTAGGATGGGAATATCAGGAGTTTGAGGGGACCCTGGACCTCCACTCAAAAAGTTACCAACCAAACAAATTGTCAAAACAGCCAATTTCTACCCTCTAGAGTTCTGTTGAGTCTCTTTCCATGAAGCCATCGCACTGGGCACAACCACCATTTATATTCCTTTCCATTTGTTTTGACGATATAGTTTTGTTTTTTTTTCCCAGTGTTTGAGATTGAAACCAGCCACTTGCTGGTTAATAGGTGCTGTGTCCTACACTCTGACATTGAATTCAAAGGTTTGCTACAGCTGAAGTACCTCTGACTGACTCCCTCTCTCCTTTCGGCTACAGAACCACTGGAAAATGGTTTTGAGCTGGGTGGTGGTGGCGGCACCTGCCTTAGTCACAGTACTTGGGAGGCAGAGGCAGGCACATCTCTGTGAGTTCCAGGCCAGCCTGGTCTACAGAGAGAGAGTTCCAGGACAGCTAGGACTGTTTCACAGAAAAACCCTGTCTCAAAACAAAAAAAAAAACAAAACCAAAAAGGTTTCTATCTACTTGGAGTGCTTTACAGGGTAACAGGCTGGCCTGATTACAGATAAAATTAGTTTCAGTTTCAGTTTTTTGAGACAGGGTTTCTCTAGGTAGCCCTCGATGTTCTGCAACTAGCTTGGTAGAGCATGCCAGCCTAAAACTCAGAGATCTGGCTTTCAACTTTGATCTGCTGGGATTAATGACATGTGCCACCACTGCCCAGTTTTTTGTTTTTTTATAATTAGTTTAAAAGAGATTCACATGTATAGGAAGTCAATGCCAACTATGATTCCTCAAAATGAGGTACCTATAAAATAAACTACTCTGCTCAGAAAATAGGACACTTTCTCCAAGAGGTCTGCCTCCCCGGCTCTGAGATCTGGCACTCCATATACACACACACACACACACACACACACACACACACACACACACACACACACACCTTTTTGTTTCTACTTGGAGGCCAGTTCCTACTATACTTTGTGCTGCTGTGGGGCTTTCTCATTATACAAGAGCAAGTGATACTTGGAAACTTAACTAGCCAAAAGAGAGCTGGTGCTTAGAAACTGGGAACTCTTGCTTTGGAACATTGTCTTAAGGCCAAAAATGTCTCAGTCTGGGTGGGGACAGCTTTCTAGCAGCCACAGACACAAGCACATTAAACAAGGCCTGCGCTTCTCCAGCGAGGCACTGGTGGCCAGGGCGGCCGTTTCTCCACAGCAGCTTCATTTCCTCAGACAGTGAGCTCATGCTTGGCGATGGTGCACTAGATAAAACAGGGCATTTAACCCTGTCCTGGAGCAGGACTACAAACATGTACACTGTGTGCCTGAATCAAACTGAGAAGAACACTCACACACAAATGCAGTCATAACATTAGACCTTACTTAGGAATACAGACAAAAAAATCCACAATGGTGAAAGTGAGATCTTCCTTCCATAGCCAATTTAGGATTTTTTTTTTTAAATGAAGACACAGTTTTGCAGAATTATGGGTAGAGCAGCTTAAGGTATGCTATGACTTCATTTCCTACGCAGCATCACTTCTGGTGTTTAAAAATACAAAATCCTCGGCTGGGTGTTGGTGGCACACATCTTTAATCCCAGCACTCGGGAGGCAGAGGCAGGCAGATCTCTGTGAGTTCGAGGCCAGCCTGGTCTCCAGAGCGAGTGCCAGGATAAGCTCCAAAGCTACACAGAGAAACCCTGTCTCGAAAAACCAAAAAAAACCCAAAAACCAAAAGCGAAAAAAACCAAAAAAAAGAAAACAAAAAAACCAAAATACAAAATACTTTCTATTGACTAAAAAAAAAAAAAAAACTGGGGTGGGGGTGGGTAGGACACTTGCCCAACCCGTATAAGGCCTCTAGGTTCCTCTGCCTTTCCTAGACTCTGATGATTAGGACAAACTGTTCTGCTGCTTGTCCTGTCCCTGGTGTTGGTCTACGAACCCCAGTGAGGTTGGTGGGTGGGTGTCAAGGACATTCATGAATGTGAGGGCAATGTGACTCATATCCTCTGACTTCACTAAAGAAAGCAGCTTGCTGCAGCTAGAGTCTGGAGAGGACCATAACAGAGACACAAGTCAAATGACGATCTAAAGCCACTTTAGATCTCGGTGTTCACGGGATTGGCACAAGGTTTTGGGTGGGGATAGACAAGGAGGAGCACAGGTTTCTGGCTTGGGATTTTAGGAAGAGAAGGAGTTCAAGGGCAACCTAGGTTTCATGAGACACAGTCTGAAAGGATTCAAGCACCTGCAAGTACTAGACATGTCCATACAATCCTAAACTTGGGTTTTAAGAGCATAAAAAAGAAAGTAAGCTGTTGGATGTTTAAGTACTACCCTGAGCTCTTGAGAAAGCAGGTCCAAGTCAAGATGAAGCTGCCTCTAGTGTTTAAGTGTCTAGCCTTTGGTGCTTTCTACCCACATTCTAGCATCTAAGGTTTTTAGAATATATTTAAGTTCTCCCTCCCTCCCTCCCTCCCTCCCTCCCTTCTTTCTTTCTTTCTTTCTTTCTTCAGTTTCTCTGTAGCCTTTAGAGCCTATCTTGGAATGCTGTAGACCAGGCTGGTCTCGAACTCACAGAGATCCTCCTGCCTCTGCCTCCCAGAGTGCTGGGATTAAAGGCGTGCGCCACCACCGCCCAGCCAAGACTATACTTTTTATACCGTGTAGTTGCACATAGGATTAAATGGAGAGGGCATGTGAGCTGGAGTGTGGCTTGAGGAATCTAGCATTGACCTTGAGAATAGGCACTAGTCATATCTTAATGGAAGGGCCACAAATTCCTCCGGCTATAAATAAGGAGTGCTTCATCAAGCAGGAACTTTCCTCAAGCTCCCAAAGGAATGGAGACCCTTATCCAAATGCCTGACCTTGGGAAAAGGACTTCTGGGGAGCAGACACTATACTACAATTTCTTTTCTTTTCCAAGACAGGGTTTCTTTGTGTAACAGCCCTGGCTATCTGGAACTCACTTTGTAGATCATGCTGGCTTTGAACTCACAGAGATTCACCTCGCCTGCCTCTGTCTCCTGAGTGATGGGATCAAAGGTGTGCACCACCAACTTATATTAGTGTAGTATATAGTGTAGTATACTACAATTTCTTAGTCTTATTATATGGGCCTGTTTCCCCTCACACACTCCCCAAAGGGAAGGTCCTGATGTCTTACTCTTTTCCCATGGATACCAGACCATTCTGTTTTCTCTATATTTATTAACTGAACTCTTGCCCTTAATGGCCTCAGGCTCTGGCTCTGAATTGTAGGCATTTCATCCTTGGGATCAGGTGTGTCTAGTAAATCTATAACTTTCTGTTCTTGGTTAATTAGGAGAGCACAATGGAATTCTTGGTTCCACTATGGCGGGATTTTTTTCCAAAGAATTTTGTTTAGCGAGGCTATCATTGTACATTGTACATTGTAAAGGTTCTTATCCTTTAACAAAGTCTGAACAAAATTTCCCAAAGCAAAAGGCATTAATATTGAGAATCATTAAACATGAAAGTAAAAAGTTGCTGGAGAAGTGTGGTCTGCAATGTTGAAATGCTGGAATGTTGTCAAGCAGTAATGGTTGCCTTTATTCTCAGGGGCTGTCTCTATGTGGTAGGAAAAGATGGTGACTACTGGCAGTTAAAAGATTATAGTGACCCGGGCTGGAGAGATGGCTCAGAGGTTAAGAGCACTGACTGCTCTTCCAGAGGTCCTGAGTTCAATTCCCAGCAACCACATGGTGGCTCACAACCATCTGTTATGAGATCTGGTGCCCTCTTCTGGTGTGCAGATATACATGGAAGCAGAATGTTGTATGCATAATAAATAAATAAAATCTTAGAAAAAAAAGATTATAGTGACCCTACAACCCTGATCAGAAGAGATTCCTAGAAACAAAGTATAGTGTCACACTTGGAGCCAGAGATAGGAAGATCAGAATTCAAGGTCATCCTTGGCTGCATAGTGAGTTCAAGGATCATGTCTCAAGAAGAGGTAGGAAGAAGAGGAAGGAGAGGGAAAGAAGGAGGGAGAGAGAGAAGGAGACTATTTTGGGCTAGTTATGATGGTGGCTTATGCCTATCATCTTAGCACTTGGAAGGCTGATGCAAGACTGAAAGTCAAGGATAGTGTAGGCTACAAAGTGAGACTGTGTCTCAGACAAATCAAACCACAAACCCACCTTTCTTGACAGGTCTGACAACAGAGCTTCCCGAGGCTAGTCCTATGCTGAGCCTGAGAGTGAAGTTGATTTCAACCATGTCTGATTCCCAAGGACTGGGAAATGGTAGTTCCCAAAGGCAGGCTGGACATATAAAATACATGTTCACTACTCCAGGAGCTACGAAGTATCCAGACACTCTTAACACAATTTCAGCCCAATACATACTTGCCAAATCAATGTAAGACCACGTAAGTTGCTGCATATTACTTTAAAAAGCATCATGTTCCAAACTTTGATGTTGTATTTGAGAACCAATGAAACATAACTCAAGGCAGATTCCAAGGTCATTATTGACAGGCCATTTTTGCAAGGAACTACTCCAATCAAGTACAGATTGATAAGGTTCCGGTTCCATCTATATGACACCAAAGAGGTGCAGCACTCTGGGAGAAGGCAGATCAATATGAATGGTCCTGGTAGCAGCAAGAGTTCATTTAAACTGGTGGTAGTCAGGTGGGTTTCTGATCCAGGATGCAAACGATGGTTTCTTCCGGAGTGCGCTCCAGGCTTCCTGGTAGGCAGATGCAGCCTCCTTGTACTCCTGATAGGTGTCCAGCTTCTGCACCCTAATACACACATGTCATCAAGCACAGTTCTCACTGGAGTGCTCGCTCACCCTTAGAGCAACTGGACAGATTCAAACAGCAGAGCAGGAGCAGAGGAGCACTCTGTTCATTCCATAGGGAATTCATGTTAAAGCAATACACGCTTAAGCAGGTTGGAATCACAGAACACTAGTTTTGTATGGCTCCTGTACAATCAGATAAACATTTTCTTTTCTTTGTGGTGTTGGGGATCATACATGGGTTCATATATGCTAGACAGTCTCCTCCTACTATCACTGAGCTGTCTACCCCAGTCCTGAATTAAAGTTTCCACCAGAGGATCCAGAGATTAAGAACTTCCTTGGCTTTGTTTCTTATAAGAACATTAGGTGCCAGGCAGTAGTGGCGCTCTCCTTTAATCCTAGCACTTGGGAGGCAGAGGCAGGCAGATTTCTGTGAGTTTGAGACTAGCCTGGTCTACAAGAGCTAGTTCCAAGACAGCCTCCAAAGCCACAGAGAAACCCCTGTCTTGACCCCCCAAAAGCCCCCAAAAAACAAACAAACAGAAAAACATTATGTAATATCCACCCTCTCCTGCTATATTCTGCCAATCCACACCCTTCAGTCTGACAGCTGAAAAATGCTGGACACTCTGATACTCTGAATAGTTGTAATTCGTTGTGGAATATTATTTTATGAAGTGTTATGCTGTGAAATATTTATTTAATGATGCAAAGATGTGTTGTATTCTTTTATGTTGCATTTGTTTAACTCTATGAAACTGTGTTACTCTGCCTATCTAAAACACCAGGTTGGTCTAATAAAGAGTAGAATGGCCAATAGGTAGGCAGGAGAAAGGAAAGGGTAGGCGGGGTTGCCAGCAGAGAGAATAAATAGAAGGAGAAAAAGGGAAGATTGAGGATGGAGAAAAAGGAGGAGAGCGGATGCCAGGGGCCCAAAGTTACACAGCAAGTCCTGGAGTAAGAAGTAAAGAAAGGTGTATAGGATAGAGAAAGAGAAAAGCCCAGAGGCAAAAGGTAGACAAGATACTTTATATTAAGAAAAGCTGGATAGAAATAAGCCACGCTGGGGGCTGAAGAGATGACTTAGAGGTTAAGAGCACTGGATGCTCTTCCAGAGGTCCTGAGTTTAATTCCTAGCAATCACATGGTGGCTCACAACCATCCATAATAAGATCTGATACCCTCTTCTGGCCTGCAGGCAAAACACTGCATACATAATAAACAAAAAAAATAAGAAAGAAGACAAGCTAAGGCCTGGCATTCATAAGAAAGAATAAGCCTCCATATATTTATTTGGGAGCTGGGTGGCAGACGCCCAAAGGCTAAACAGTAAATAAAAAAAGAAACAACTACAGTTATTCTTTTTGTGGGGCAGGTTTCTTTCTTTCTTTCTTTCTTTCTTTCTTTCTTTCTTTCTTTCTTTCTTTCTTTCTTTTTTTTTTTTTTGGTTTTTCCAGACAGGGTTTCTCTGTGGCTTTGGAGGCTGTCCTGGAACTAGCTCTTGTAGACCAGGCTGGTCTCGAACTCAGAGAGATCCTCCTGCCTCTGCCTCCTGAGTGCTGGGACTAAAGGCCTGCACCACCACCGCCTGGCAACTACAGTAATTCTTATGAGATTTTCTTTGGATAAGGACTGGGACTAAAATATGGGTCAGAGTCCTCTTGAGTCCTCCTCTTGACTTGGCCTTGATTTCTGCCCTGGCTCTCTAAGTCCAGTTTCAACTAGAATTCTCCTGAGTAAGTTTAAGCAAAGCTCCCTGCTCTTGTCCTTTTGTCACCTTCAATATGAATCCAGTTCTTCACTGTGGGCTAGGGACATAGCTCAGGCAGTAGGGTGCTTGCTTAGTTTACATGAACCCCTCCCTGGTTTAATCCTCAGAACTGAGTAAAGCAAGTGTGGTGGCATACTTGTGATCCCAGCACTTTCGAGGCAAAAACAGGATCAGAAAGTTCAAGGTCATCTTTGGCTATATAGCAAGTTTGAGGCTAGTCTCGGTTATATGAGACCCCATCTCAAAACCAAAACTAATAACAAGTTTTTTACTTCTACCCTTTCTATCTCATCACCCTGGCTGCCTTCAGCAGGAATCCTGTGTAGTAGGTCCACTAAGAATTCCTCTAGCCTAGCTTAGAAATCAACTTAGAAATTTTCTTTTTTGGTTTTTCGAGACAGGGTTTCTCTGTATTGCTTTGGAGGTTGTCCTGGAACTTGCTCTGTAGACCAGGCTTGCCTTGAACTCACAGAGATCTGCCTGCCTCTGCCTCCCGAGTGCTGGGATTAAGGTGTGTGCCACCAATGCCTGGCCAAGTTAGAAAGTTTTTCTATCCACAAACCACTCCAACCAACTCTGCTTCTGGCTATAAGTCTCTGCTTGTGCTTGCACTTGAGAGTTGAGCTCAGTTTCTTTCCCTACAGCATCCCCTGAATAGTTTTCTTTACCATCCTTGACAAATGTCTAAATGAGTTGTTCCTTAACTGGGTAGTGGTGGCACACACCTTCCCAGCACTCAGGAAGCAGAGGCAGGTGGATCTCTGAGTTTGAGGCCAGCCTGGTCTAAATAATTAGTTCCAGTACAGTCAGGGCTACACAGAGAAACCTTGTGTCAAAAAAAAAAAAAGTTTTCAAGTACTTCTGCTGCACATATATCTCATTCATAGAATAATTTTTTAAAAAGATTTATTTATTTATTATGTATACAGTATTCTGCCTGCACTTATGACTGCATGCCAGAAGAGGGCAGCAGGTCTCATTACAGATGGTTGTGAGCCACCATGTGGTTGCTGGGAATTGAACTCAGGACCTCTGGAAGAGCAGTCAGTGCTCTTAACCTCTGAGCCATCTCTCCAGACCCCTAGAATAAAAATTTTAAATTAAAACTTTTATTTTATGCATGAGTGTTTTGCATACAAGTATGCAAAACATGTGCAGCATGTTTGTGCCCCAGCTCATAGGGTCCAGAAGAGGGTGTTATATCCCCTAGAACTGGAGTGAGCCACCCCTAACACCTATGGGTGTTAGGACCTGAACTCTAGACCTCTGGAGGAGGAACAAGTGCTCTTAATCACTGAGGCATCTCTTCAGCTCCACCCCCCCATAGATTTTTATCAAATAAAATTAGTTTCTGATTATCAAAACCAAGTATAAACCATGCCTGGGTCAAGCACTTTTATATGCAATATTTTTACTTATATTCTTCTTAGAGATCTTGTGATATGGCTAATGCTACTATTCTTACCATCAAATAAATAGAGACTGTGATGATTAATCTTCATTGTCAACTAGACTGGAGTTATAGTTAGAATCACCAGGGAAACCAGCTTCTGGGCATGTCCACGAGGATGTTTTCCAGGAACGTTTGACTGCTGTGGGAAGACCCACCCTGAATGTAGGCAGTGGCATACATAGGCCAGGGCCCCTGAACAAAAAGGAAAAACTGCACTAACCACCAGTGTTCCTCTCTCTGCTTCCTAGTTCTGGATGCAATGTAAACAGCCACTTCATCTTCCTGCTGCTATGGATTGCACCCTCCAACTGTGAACCAAAATACATTCTCCCTTAAGCTGTATTTACCAGTGGTTTTTGTTTTGTTTTGTTTTTCTGGTTACAACAAGAAAAATAACTAATACAGAGACTTGTCTCACTAATTCAATTTTATCCTGTTTCATTCCTGGTCTTTATTATTATGAATTATTTTATGTGTAAGGTCATTTATTTTGCTTGTTTATCATGTGTATGCAGTACCTGTGAAGGCCTGAAGAGGGTGTCAGATCCCCTGGGATTTCAGTTACAGATGGTTATGAGATACCACATGGGTGCTGAGAGTTCAACTTGGGTCCTCGTCCTCAGTAAGAGTAGCCAGTGCTTTTAGCCTCTGAACCATCTCTCCAGCCCATATTTTTATTATTTTTAATTTGTGTGTGTGTGTGTGTGTGTGTGTGTGTGTGTGTGTGTGTTCACATGAGTTTGTAAGAGTACAGTGCTGTAGAGTTCAGAGGCATCTGTATAAGAGACAATGCTTCTTGCAGTAAGTACTGATTTAAGTTTTATTTTAATCATTTTTTTTTTTGTTGTTAGTAAAAAGGCAGGATCCATGAACTTGATAGCTTTAAACTGTATTTGAGTTCTGTGCTCCTGGAAAACAGGTGTAGCTTCCCAACAGAGGCCCTGGGTCCCATTGCCAGCATTATAAAGTCAGCCAATCAGTCAAATGAAAAAATGGAAAAAACAAAACAAAACCAAAAAACCCAGGCCTGTAATCCTAGCATTTGGGAGGCTGACGCAGGAGAACTGCGTATAAGTTTGAGCTTAAGCTGCCCTGCATAATGAGTTTCAGTTTCAGGCCAACCTGGGCAGTGAGACCTTATTGAAAAATAAGTAAATAAATGAGTAAGTAAGTAAAGCTAAAACCGAACTTTCCCCTTACCCCTTTGTGTTCACTGTAACAACAGCCTCTCCTCTATAACTCAGGTAAGACTCAGACACAAACCTACAAGTTCCCATTCTCTGTAGAAAGTAGTAAGTGCCCACTGGCTTGCTGAGTGGATGAGTAGTCACCTGCCAGACATATCACCATGCACAAGCCAGAACCAGAGCAGAAGTCTTTACAGACAGGAGGACAGAGGGATAGGCAGTGTCACCTGACAGAGTCTGGTTGCTTGTCTTCTGTAATGCTGCTTAGCAGCTTCTGGAATGATCTAAAGAGTTCCACCTTGCTGATTCGGGATCTGTTCAGAAAAAGAAAGAAAACATCACTGACTAATAACTAGGTGCCAGGCCACTAGCAAGACACCAGGCTTATCACAGCGCTTGGTGTGAGGGTGCCAGGTAAGTGTAGACTGACCTGAAATGTCTCATCAGTCTCCCCTCCTTTCTCCCTCTTCCCCCTCCCACTCCCCTGACAACACATCTTGCTATATTGCCCAGGCTGGTCTTGAATCATGAGCCTCGTGCCTCAGTTTCCCAAGTGTTAAGATTATAGGCATAGGTTGCCACACCCTGCCTCTCTAGAGAGATCTGTGTTGTGACTGCTGGCAAGTGACACTAACCTATTAGCCACATGACTGAGCATTTTTAGAATTAAATCCTCTGGCCCCACTCAAGCTTTCAGGGGACTACAACCCCAGATGACATAATTATTGACCTCTCAAATCCCAAGATACAACTGCCTATTAAATTCATTTTTTATTCCAAATCAGCAGAAACTCTGAAGAATGAGGTTTATTGTTATTTAAAGTTGCTATTTTGTAGATAATCTGTTAAACATCAACCGATAACAATGTACTTTCATAGAATAAATCTAATGGGGATGTGAAACATGTATATAAGGGAATTATAAAAAATAAAAATAATTTAAAATAATAAAATGAAATTATAAAGATTTATTGAGGGCTGGGCTATTGCTCAGGGTTAGAGTATTTACCTTGTACATGTATTAGGTTCTATGTTTAATCTCCAGTACTGTTAGAAAAACAAACAAACAAACAAAAAAACAAAAAAACGGGCTAGGCAGATGGCTCAATGCTAAGGTGCACTTGCTACCTTGCAGAGAACCTGAGTTTGGTTCCCAGCATCCATATTAGGTGGCTCACAACTGTCTTGTTACTCCAGCTCCAGGGGATCTGGCCATGCTCTTCTGGTCTCTGCAGGCACCTGCTCTCATGTGCACACACTCAGAAACAGAAACACACACATATACAAATAATTAAAAAAAAAAAAAAAAAACAACCTTAGAGCCGGGCGGTGGTGGCACACACCTTTAATCCCAACACTTGGGAGGCAGAGGCAGAGGCAGGCGATCTCTTGTGAGTTTGGGGCCAGCCTGGTCTACAAAGTGAGTTCCAGGACAGCCTCCAAAGCCACAGAGAAACCCTGTCTCGAAACCTGCCTCCCTCCCCCCCAAAAAAATACAAAGTGAGGCTGGGTGGTGGTGGCGTACGCCTTCAATTCCAGCACTCAGGATGCAGAGGCAGGTGGATCTCTGTGAGTTCCAGGCCAGCCTAGTCTACAGAGTGAGTTCTAGGACAGGCTTCAAAGCTATAGAGAAACTCTGTCTTGGAAAAAAAAAACAAAACAAAAAAACCAAAAAAGAACAGAATTTGTCTGGCAGGAAGTCGATAATGCAAACAGGAGTTTTATACATAACTAAGTACCAAGTGACTGCAGGTGTACCAGAAGGATGCCCAAACCTCACGGAGCTCAAAAAGTTTATTTCTCCCACCTGAATAAAGTGGCCTAGCAGAATCTATGCATCAACAACTAAAACTTCCACTGAGACCTTGCAGCTGAGACAGTCTCCTGGGACTGAAACAAGTTATATAACTAAATAATAGCACATGTTTATGTGACAGTGTTAGTCAAGCCCAGGTTAATTAATTACTACTCAGAAAATTAATACTCAAGAATAAAGTCACCTCTTAAACATTAGAGAGAACATACCCAAAGGGTAGGCACCAAGGGCAACAAAAATGTTACCTTTTCCTCTATCTAGTAATTTTATTGTAAATATGATTTTATCATTTGGCTATATGTATTTACTAATAAAATAATTAATCTCAGTCAAGACTTCCGACTGAAAAATATTTGCCTCCTGGGTGTTGGGACTAAAATCATGCACCACCAAGCCTCGTTTATTACTATTAATGAAGTATATTGGGACACTTTATTCACACAAATAAGAAGCCCCTACCATGTCACACTCTACTGCTTGGACAACAGATTCACATTAAGGCTCAACATGTTACCTCATTATTGGAAGGAGGCCTACTGGGATCTATTTACCTCCATCATGGTAGCACAATGCCAAGGCTGGTATGGAGGGAGAGTCTAATACCCTCTTGGGAACATACCTGTAAAGGTTCTCAACAGTATGTTCTCTGGAGAACCAAGAGGAAGAACTTTGAATGTTTTTCCACTTAAGTCATCTCCTCAGTAATGGTAAGATGATGTGAGCACATACTCAGCACCCAGGGGCTGAGGCAGGATCCAGACCAAAGCCTGCCTGAGCTATATCATCAGCCCCCTCCCCACTCCAAAAAAAAAAAATGAGTTATGCCTATAAAGCAAATTAGAATCTGGGGGTACAGCTCAGTGGTAGAGTGATTGCTAGCATGTACATAGTTTGGAAATAAATCTCTTCTCTATTTGGGAACTTGCTCCAGTGAAGTAAGCCTTTCTTTTGATCTTTTTCTTTAGTTTTTTCGAGACAGGATTTCATTGTGTAGCCCTGCCTGTCCTGGAACTCACAGAGATCTGCCTGTCTCTTTCTTTAATCCTGCTGGGATTAAAGGTGTAAACCACCACCGCCTGGCAAACTATGCCTTTTGTTAAGTCTTATTCCACAGCAGAACACAGTAGCCACATGAGTAATGTCTCTATCAGGGAGAGCCACACCCAGTAGATACTATTGAATTATCTGAGGAGTCTAAGAATCTTCCAGGTGGCTGCTGCTTTCCAAGAGACCTGGGTCCTTTTAGCTGAGAGAACCACATGCTAAGAGATTAAGCACTTCCTTATGAGCTGGATAACACTGCTGATTACTACAAAAAGAAAGCACAGGAACTTTTAGATTGTATTTTCTTGGGCTGAGCGTTGGTGGCAGACACCTTTAATCCGAGCACTTGGGTGGCAGAGGCAGGTGGATCTCTGTGAGTTTGAGGCCAGCCTGGTCTACAGAGCTAGTGCCAGGATAGGCTCCAAAGCTGCACAGAGAAACGCTGTCTCGAAAAACAAACAAGCAAACAAAAAGATTGTATTTTCTTTAGTTTATTTTAGACTTCTTTTTAAAAAATCCTTCACCTGGGAGTTGGGGGAGGGGGTGTTAATTTGATCAAAATACACTGTATGAAATTCTCAAAGAATTAATGAAAACACTATTAAAAAAATATCTAGCTGGGTATGGTGGTACACACTTTTAATCCTAGCAGTCTGGGAGGCAGAGGCAGGTGGATTTCTGAACTCAAGGCCAGCCTGGTCTACAGAGCAAGTTCTGTATTGAGATAGCCAGGGCTATATACCCATTTCCAAATGCTGTCTCCAAACAAAACAAAACAAAACAAAACAAAACCCCAAAACAACAGAAAAATTCCTTATTTGACATTGTCTTCCCCCATATACATAGTTGACTAGCTTAAAAAAAAAAAATCTCTCGATGGGCAGTAGTGGCTCAAGCCTTTAATCCCAGTACTCGGGAGGCAGAGGCAGGTGGATCTCTGTGAGTTCAAGGCCAGCCCAGTCTACAGAGTGAGTTCCAGGACAGGCTCCAAAGCCACAGAAAATCTCTGTCTCGAAAACAAAACAAAACATCTCTCACTGAGTTGGTGAGATGGCTCAGTAGGAAAGGTGCCTGTTGCTTAGACTGGTCTTGTAGAGGACCAAGTCTGCTTCCCAGCACCTGTAAACGTTGGCTCAACCTCCAAGGGATCCACCCTCTTCTGGCCTCTGTGGACATCTTAACTCAAGTGTACAGACTCACATAAAGACACAAATATAAGTAAAAACAAATAAACAAAAAACACTATTTATGATTTTATTTTCAATTCAGTGAGCTGTTTCTTGATCTTTCCAGGATATTCTAGTATATCAACTGACACAGAGGATTTTTTTTTTCTTCAGGATAAAGAGAATTAGCCTTTATAAAATGGAGTAAAAAAAAAAAATCAAGATTCTTAAAATAAACATCTTTTATGTGATTCCTGTTATTATCCCAGTGTTTGCAAACACAGCCTTCATGCGTCTCTCACAATGCCATCTGAGATCCCCAGTTTCCCAGAGCCTCACAATGCAGCCACTAAGGGATGAGCAATGAGGAGCCTGCTTCTCCCAGCAGCTGATGATCTTAGTATAAAGTGAGCTCTAGTTCCTGCATACAATAATGTTACAAAGATCACTAGATGGTTCAAAGACAAGTCAATTTTAACAGGATGCCATTGCAAGCCAGGATATAACATCGGTCCCTTCAATCCACCCTGCAGTCTTCTTTTAATTCATATTCTCCCCCCCCCTTTCTCAGTCTGCCTGCTGCCATCTTCCCACTATGGTGGCCATGAACTGTGAGCCTCCATTAAATGCTTCCTTCTCTAAGTTGCCTTGGTCATGGTGCTTTGTCACAGCAGTACAAATGCTAACTAAGACCGTGTCTATCCATAAAACCTCACTTTACAGGGAAAAGCACACTGCAGTCCACAGAGCAGCTGGCCTTGCCCCCAACTCACACAGACAATTGGAGACAGAGCCAGGGTTAGAACCTGAGGCACTGGAGATTACACAGGGAACAGACATACTATGACAGGAATCTAGAGAGAATCGATGCTTTTGATTCAGGAGGAATTTAGAGTTGAGCTGGGCTTTTAAAGACTCTGTGCAAAGAATAGCCCGTCCCCATTCTGAGCAAAGTAGCAAGTGGAAGCCACAGTCAGCTGAGTGGGGTCACTCTCCACAGAGCCAGAGTGCAGCAGGAAACCTGCATGCCTAATTTCCTGTGACCTCCTCTGCTCACACATCCTACTCTCAGGCTGACTGCAGGTTTCCTAACAAGTACAAAAGATGGCTGGAAGCTGGGCATTGGTGGCACATGCCTTTAATCCCAGCACTCGGGAGGCAGAGGCAGGCGGATCTCTGTAAGTTCGAGGCCAGCCTGGTGAGCGAGTGCCAGGATAGGCTCCAAAGCTACACAGAGAAACCCTGTCTTGAAAAACCAAAAAAAAAAAAAAAAAAAAGAAAAAAGAAAAAAGAAAAAAAAAAAAAAAAAAAAAAGAAAAAAGAAAAAAGAAAAAAAAAGATGGCTGGAAACAAAACAAAACAAAAACATTGAGTACATTTTTGTAACTGAATTACATAAGATTCCTTAGGTCAGATATCAAAAGTACAACCAAGTTTTGACTTCATTAAAATTAACAACATTTGTGCTTTGAAGGGCACCATAAAAAGTAAAAAAAAAAAAAAAAAGGGAGCTGGAGAGATGGCTTAGTGGTTAAGAACACTGGCTGATCTTCCAAAGAACTCAGGTTCAATTCCCAGCACCCACAGGACAGTTCACAACTTTGTAACTCTAGTCCCATGGACTCTGACAACCTTTTCTAGTTTCTGGGAGCCCTGAACACACATGTTGCACAAACATACATTCAGGAAAAATACCTATACACATAAAATAAAATGAACAAAATCTTTTAAAAAACAAAAAAGTATGGTGGGCACATACCTAGGTGGACTGGATCTCTTGAGTTCAAGGCCAGCCTGGTCTATACAGACCTGAGTTTGGTCCTTGGGACCCACATGAAGGAAACAGAGAATTGAATCCCATAAAATGTCTTCTGACCTAATACATAAATTTAAATATGTAATATTTTCAATTTAAAAATTAAAAATAATGACAAACCAATTATAAAATGGGCAAGGAATGAGAAAAATATTTTTCCAAAGAAGATACACAAATGACTAGTAAGCACATAGCAAGATGCCCGTATTATTCGTCATTGGGGAAATGCAGAGTAAAACAAGAAGAGAGCACTTCATGCCTGACAGATTGACATTACAAGTGTCAGACAGGATGTAAAGCCACTGTCCTGGGACCTGTCCCTGGTAGAGCTGCTAGGAAAATGGTTCCCTCATTCCTAAAAAGCTATCCATGTGGCTACCACACGACCTGTAATTCCACTTCTATGTACATTCCTAAGAGAAATTAAAGTATACAAAAATAGGCACCCAGTTGTTCACACAAGCACCATTCATAATAGCCCAAAGCAAAACATCCCCAAAGGCCATCACTGATGAGAGGATAAGCCAAATATGACATACCTATATAGATACTACTTAGCCACACAGGAAGCAAGTACTGATCCATACTGCAGTGATATCTTGTTTATACTCTAACAAATAAAACTTGCCTGAAGATCAGAGGGGTGGAGCTAGTCACTAGTTAACCATAGAGGTCTGGAGTTCTATACAGAACTCTATGTGAGTGAGATGGCTGGGCAGAGAGAGGAAGTGACAAGGCAGAAGGAGCTCAGTCTCTTTTTGGCTAAGTGAACTGTGGAGGCATGCTAAGTGGATGAAGCAGACACAAAGAAGCACATAGTAAATGATTTCATTTATATCAAGTATCCAGAAGACAGAAATATATGGAGGAAGTAAATGAAGCAAATGAGCGATTTCTAAAGGCTAGGGAGGAGGAGCAGGCAGTTTCTTTTGGGGGAAATGAAGAAGTCTCAGAACTGGATAGGAAGGAGTGAGTTCATAGATACCATGTCCCCAGCCCCATTAAGCTGTACCTGGCCCGAGGGCTCCCGATTTCTTTCTTTGTTATTCCCTGTGGAAAGCCATTGGCAGTCACATCCAAAGGATGCTCAGGAACAGCACTCCAGCTGATAGCTACGAAGAGAGGAATCCTGGGGTTAAAATGCTTCCTACTTATAGATCAGTGCTGCCCTCAATCTTGACCAGAGAATTTTCCCTCTGCAGCGGGCAGCAATTAGTACAGACTCCTAACTGGTCACGTGTTGAGAGTAAGTATCTACTGAGTGCTCATCCTCAGTGGGGCAGTTGTATCCATCCCCACCCCCAAGGCTCAGGGAACATCAGAGGTAGAATGAAGAGGCAGAATGAATGCGAGAGCTGGAGGATGGGGAGGAGTGCTGTGAAATGTTGTTCTCTGGACACTGGATGGCTGTTGCACTCAGGAGCTTACTGTAGCTATGGTTACCTGCAAACGATCCAGCTAAGATGAGTCAACATTTCAACAGACAGCATTGATTGGACTCAGTAGTCTACAAAACAACAACAAAAATAAAACAAAAACCCCAAACCAAACCAAAGAGAGAGAGAGAGAGAGAGAGAGAGAGAGAGAGAGAGAACACAAACACATAAACACATACATGAAAGAGGGAGGGTGACATGTTGGGAGTGTCTGGGGAGAGGTGGGGTCAAAATAAAAGATAAAAACCTGTTTATTTTCCCATGAATGTTACAACACTTTGACAAAAATATTTCTCTGACTCTAAAGCACCAAGAAGGTTGGATATGACATCAAAAACAAGTTGGGTCTGATGCTTGGTTCCTCAGGGTTCAATGATATCAAATGGCTTGTGATTTTTTGTTTTTTTTTTCTAAGACAGGGTTTCTCTGACTGTCTTGGAGCTGGCTCTGTAAACCAGGCTGGCTTTGAACTCAGAGATCCGCCTGCCTCTGCCTCCCGAGTGCTGGGATTAAAGGTGTGCCCCACCAATGCCTGGTGCTAAATATAATTTCTTAATTCTCATAATAGCCATGACAAACAATACTCTTGTAATCTGAAAATAAAGAAGGCAAGACAGGGTAACTAACCTGGCCAGGATCTCACAGGGCATGCACTTACCCTTATGTGAGTGTCTTCCAAGGAACACACTGGAGTTACCAGTGTCCTCCTAGGACAGTCTGTCAAAGAAGTGACTCCAGGGTCAACTAACGTGAATCCCTTACCTGCCCCACAAGGAACGAGCCGGCCTGGTATGTCAGCTCTTTGCATTTGCACTGCACAGCGGCTCTGTTCAAACAGTAAACTCGACTGCTCTATTTTCAATTCAGGAACTCCAAAGCCTCTGGGTAAAGCCAAGACCTCCTGACACCTAAATATGGGGAAAATGCATTTAGTTCAGATGTACCTAGAGAAGAGGACTCATCATCCCTAAGCCTTAGGAGAGACAAAGGTCCTAGGAACCGAGTGAATCTATGTGTTTACTTATTGAAGGGGAGAGAAGAATGCCAGGATACCACATAGGAAGAACCTTTAATTTTATTATTTATTTATTTGTTTGTTTGTTTTGCAAGACAGGGTTTCTCTGTGTAGCCTATCCTGGCACTTGCTCTGTACACCAGGCTGGCTTTGAACTCACAGAGATCCACCTGCCTCTGCCTCCCGAGTGCTGGGATTAAAGGAGTGCACCACCAACACCCAGCCTTTATTATTTATTTATTTGAGACAGGATCCCATTTAGCCTGGAGTGGTCCCAAACCTGAAATACAGCAGAGGATGACCTTAAAATTCTGATCCCTCTGCCTCTACCTCCTGAGTGCTGCAATAACAGGTGGACACTATGACCCTCCCCTTGGATGTCCTTGGATGTCCTTATGAGGTGCTGGGGATCAAGCAGAGAGCTTTATGCCTGCTAGCAAGCAGTTACTACCAACTGAGCTATATCCCCAACCCCAGCAGGAATTCTATGGCTTGAAAAAGATTGCACCTTACCAGGTCTGAAGGCATAACTAAAAACTGAGTTAATACCCACCAGTTGTGTCAGAAATCTCAAGTGTCATTCTTCACTTGAGAAACTTAAACTTTACCTTGTTCATACAGGCTTCCTAAGAAATACTTTAAACATACCCAAAACTAAAATCACCCCATACTGTAAGTTGGCTCCCGGCTCCCCTGAACAAGCCAGGTGTTCATATGATGCAAATTCAATGCACAGATAGGAACTTCCAATCTCAGAAACTTTATAACCATTATCAGCCTTCACTACTCTCCATTCCCCTTTCCAGGCCCTGGCAACCACCAACCCACCACGGATCTCTATGTACTTGTCTTTTGTGGTTATTTCACATCAAACATGCATGGCTTATTTCGCTTACTGCCGTTTTTAATGTTTCACTCACCCTGTGGCATATTTCATACTAGTCCCCCCCCTACCCCAGCACACTAGTCTTTTTCTTTTAAATGGAACTCATGTAGCCTTGACCTTAATGTAACTTCTGATCCTACAATCCAAGTGTTGGGATTACAGGCTGAGTGCCACCATGTTTGGTACTCCAATCCTTTCTGAAATGAACAGTATTTGCTTATTTGTTTGAATACACTGATTTTCTTTCCTTTCCCCCTTTTCTTTTCTTCCTTTCTTTTTCTTTTCTTTTTTTTTTTTTTTTTTTGAGACAAGGTTTCTCTGTGTAACAGAGAAACAGTTCCCGGCTGTTCTGGAACTCACTTTGTAGCCTAGGCTGGCCTTGAAGCTCACACAGATCCAACTGCATCTGACACCCAAGTGCGGAGAATAAAGACCTGAACTGTTACACCCAGAGATACACTGTGTCTCCACACTGATAAGCATTTGGGCTGCTTTTGTCTGGGGCTGCTTCCAGCATGCTGCCTATAAATGCCTGTGTGTATGTTTTTGTGGGAATGTACATTTTCACTTCTCTTGGGTGCCTGCCTAGGAGTGGGAACACTAGGCTCTGTCTGGGGTGTCACTTTTGGAATCTGCTTCCCAGGCTTTTATGTCCCCATGATACCTCTCTAACCCTCATTTACTATAACACACACCAGAGTGGTCATGTGTACAGCCATCCTTGTTTATCTTTTTTTTGAGACAGGGTCTTTGTTTATTTTGCCAAGTTTTAGAATCTTGCTATGAAGCCCAGACTGGTCTTGAACTCAGAGCCCCCTTTCAGCTTTCTGAATATTGGAATTAAAACTAATATTTGTTTTTTTTGTTTTGTTTTTTTGAGACAGCTTTTCTCTGTGTAACCCTGGCTGTCCTGGAACTCATTATGTAGATCAGGCTGGTCTCAAATTCACAGAGATCCACTAGCTTTTTTTTTTTTTTTTTTTTTTTTTTTTTTTTTTTTTTTTAATAATGGCAACTATACTCTATACTGTTTCTTGTTTGCTTGCCTGCTTTTTTCTTTTTGAGACTGGATTCATGTACCCTAGGCTGGCCTCATACTCCCTATGTAGCTAAGGGTAACCTTGAACTTCTGATCTTCCTGCTTCCTCTTCCCAAATGCTAAGATTAGAAGTCTATGCCTTCATGGTCAGTTTTATGCAGTGCTGAGATTCAACCTAGGATTTCATTCAAATTAGGTAAGCACTCTTTCAACTGAGATACATTCCCCAGCCCTGGCAATTATTCTGCTTACTGTAGAAGTACACAGTAGAAAAATGATAATGTACAGCATTAACAAAGAAGAAAAACAGCCCACAACACCATGACTCAGAGATAATTATCGATACACAGCCTCCTACAGCTTTTGGTGCACATACATATTTTAAGACCATGATGGAGCTCACTTCATCTTCTAAATTGCTCTTTAAACATCATAAACATCTTTATACATTAAATATTCATCAGTACTATTTTTAACAAAAGAAATCACTTAATTTCCAACTGCAGAGCATTTCTGGTTTCCTTTTCTTTTTAGTTACTGTATATACTAAACCTAAGACTTACACTTCTTAATTATTTCTTTAGAAAAAAATGCCAAGATGTGTAACTGCTGAGTCCAGGGTGGGGACTCCTTTGGTTCTTTGCATACCTTCTACTGCCCGCCCCACTGCCTCTCACCTGCCAGTCAATGCTCTCCTCATGGCTTCCTGGCTGTATGGGCACTTCCCAATGACCACAGCAGACAGGTAGATAGGCTCTTCCAGGAAGTGCATTAGCAGTGCACCCTGGCATCCAAGGACATTCCACCTTGCCATCTTGTCACTGCAGGACATGGAGCATGTCCTGTCTCCCCTGCCGGGCTTTACACGAAGCAGCCCCACCTGGTGGTAGGCAGCCCCTGGCTTTCTCAAGTCTCCAGTTTCTCCAGGAACACACTTGGCTCCTGTTCTATACACATCCACCACTTTGAAACTACCTGGAGCTATTCCATTGGCAGTGTCCAGTTCTTCCTTGGTAAGATTGGAGCTGCTGACATCTGGTTTGATTGAACCACTTTCCTGTGTCTCATGGTGAGCTATGGAGTTGGACAGTGTCATGGCAGGAGTTCCAAGCCTCATCTTTTTGGCTACAGAACTGCCAGGGTCTTCACAATCCCTTTTATTTTTGGAATCCTCTAGATTGTTACTCTTTTCTACAGGTGAGTTGATGGCCCAATTTCTGATGACAGGACAGCAAGGTTGTTCTTCAAACTCAAGCATTGGAATGATGGAGGCATCCCCACCTGCATGAGAAGGAACACTTCACCAGTAATTCTCAGAATGAGCCTTCCCAACCCGTGAAACTAATGTCCCTTACGAATTAGAAATGCAAATTATGAGGCTGGAGAGATAGCTCAGTGGTTGAGTGATTGCCCTAACATGCAACATGCAATGAGTTCAATCCTCAACTGTGTGTGTGTGTGTGTGTGTGTGTGTGTGTGTGTGTGTGTGTGTGTAATGGACATGCTGAATCATAAACTCTGGAGGTAGAGCCCAGAACTCTGATTTACTAAACTGAGTAGGCCATTCTGAATCATGGCCTCAAACTGAGGTCAATTTGTTTTCCCTGCTGAGCTGAGATGAATAAAGAGGCAGATTGGTGATAAGGTTAGTGGTAGATCATAGATAATGAGCATAAAGCCCAGCCTTGACTGCAACCACCTTTAAAAAAGAAACAAACACAAAACCAAAAACCACACACACATACACACACACACACACACACACACACACACACACACACACACACACGCACGCAGGTATGTACATACTGTGGTACATGTATGGAGGTTAAAAAACAGCTGCAGATGTTGGTACTCACTTTCCTCTTTGTGTGACCTGGGATCTTATTCCCTGCTACATATGCCAGCAATCCATTTGATCGTTAAGTGCTAAAATTACAGATGCTAGTGTGCTAGTGTGTCTGGCTTTATGAGGGTTCTAGGAATTCAAACTTAGGTTGAATGCTTGTATGGCAAGCACTTTACACATGAGACCTCCACAGACACTCTTCTTTTTTCAATACTTAATTAACATTAGAGCTGGAGAGATGGCTCAGAGGTTAAGAGAGAGCACTTGCTGTTCTTCTGTGGGTCCAGGATCAGTTCGAAGCACCCATGTCAGGTAAATTATAACCTCCTATAATTCTAGTTTCAGGGGGTCTGACACCCCTGGTCTTTGCTGGCACTTGCATGAAAGTGGTACACATAAACTCACATAAGCACACACATATTCACATATAACAGTAAGTAAATACATCTTAAAAAATTAACTAGATATGCATATATAAACAAACAAACAAAATCCCATGCATGTGCTAAAGTTCTAATAAAAATTGCTGAGGTCAGCCAGGCAGTGATGGTACACGCCTTTAATTGCAGCACTTGGGAAGCAGAGGCAAGTGGATCTCTGTGAGTTTGAGGTCAGCTTGGTCTACAGAGCGAGTTCTAGGAGAGCCAGGGCTACACAGAAAAATCCTGTATTGAAAAACCAAACCAAACCAAACCAAACCAAACCAAAACAAAACAAAAGCCCCAAAACAAAACCTGTTGAGGTCTTGATGAAACCTCTTTCCTAGAGTTAAAACTTCTTGATGAATTAAGGAAAACTGAATATTTAAAAAAAGGTCTCAGGTCATTTCTACCACAAACACTGGTTTAGACCGGGGTTTCCCAATCTCCACACTCATGAAATTTTTTTTCTCTTTTGAGACAAGACCTCCTGTAACTCAGACTGGCTTCAAACTCCCTATTAGATGAGGATGGCCTCAGATTCCTGAACCTCCTGCCCCTGCCTCCTAAGTCCTGGGATCACAGTGTTTCACCATGCCTGGGTACAATCAAACTGTGAGTCAGGTAATTATTTGCCATGGAGGTGATCTTGTATGACAGCCGCTATGATAGTCTCTGGACATGTGTGGAGGTCAAAGGACAACAAGTGTTTCCAGAGCCAGTCTGGCTGCACACACATGTAATTACAACACATGGGAGTTGGAGTGAAACTATCCTCAGCTAAGAACTACAGTTTTAAGGGAAGTCTTTTAAAACAGGCATTTTTAAAATGTGTGTTTGTCTCACATTCACGTGTGCAGGTGTCTACAGAGGCCAGAAGAGGAGGGTCTTGGATTCCATGAAATGGGATTTATAGGCAGTTTTGAGCTGTTCAACATGGGTGCTGGGAACTGAACACATGCTCTCTAGAAGAGCAGTAAGTGTCCTTCCTTAACCATTGAGCCACCTCTCTTGCCTTGGACAAAGACTTGTTTATTGAAGTTGGAGATTACAACCAAATCTTACCCATACTGGGCAAGCACTCTACCAGCCTTCGAACTACTGATTTGCAATGAGAAAAGTTTCTCAAGGGCATTTTGTAGACTGGTATGCTGTAAAATGCCTTGGAAAACAGTACTGACTTATTTCATGGCTGAACAAATTTGACAAACATTCTTCAAAATCATCATAGGGATTTTATGCTGTATAGTCCCTCAGTAATTCCCCCACCCCACACAAAAACTGCAAAGTTCAGTCCACACCAGTGTTTCCAAAACCTCCAGTGCTTCCCTTTGCTGGTTTATAGATGTCTGATCTCTTCTGTGCCCACGGGAACAAAAGAAAATCCGAGGTCAGGGGAAAGCACAGCACTCCCTTGAGAAGGGAGTTATTTCTTCAAACACTAATCCAATGTGTGTTGCTTTTTCAATGTGGAAAGAATATACTTTTAGTCATTATAACCAAAGAGTGGGAAAGGCAAGAGAGATACAGAAGGAGAAATGTCACATGAGAGGCTGCCTGGCTGACTTCCAGAGACCTTACAAGGTGACAGCAACTTTGCAGAATTCACTGGGGTCCACCTCCTACTCTGTAGGCTCAGAGATGTGATCTCGACAGAAAGCCTGAATACAAGAGGCTGACTCACACTAATAAAACACAAAAGTAAGAATCTAAAGTAGCTAACCAAGACACTTAATTCTAATAGTAATAAGAAGTAAATGTCAAGGGAGCCAGAGAGTCACATTTGCTAGGCAGTGTGCTTCCTTCCTACAGATAAACCACGGGTGGGGTGGGGGTGGGGTACCACATTGTAAAAGATTACTCATGAGCGAAGGGAGTTATATCAGTGATTGAAGATTTTTTCCAGCAAAACAATTTCCAGAGTTTTTAAGATTAATGGAGGGTTGCCAACTTATTTAAGATCTTTAAAAACAAAAAGCCAATTACCGAAATTAACAAAGAGAGAGCCTATACCCACTCCACAGCTTTTCTTTCTCCCACTTCTTAGCACACAGTGCCATCATTTTTTCCAAAGCCCTAAGGAGACACCTGGAAGTCATCTTTGCCTCCCCCTCCTCCTTCACAATTATGAAGTCCGAGCAATTGCCCTCCTAAATCTCTCTTACATCCACTCAGTTGTCTATTGCTCATTAATGACCTCTACCCTCCCCCAAACCATCCCTGTCACTTAAAAACAAAAAACCTCTCACAACCTTTACTTTTGAAGTATCTACTACACAGTCTTGATTCTCCTTGCTTTGCAGATGCTCACAGATCAGCAGTACATCCCTGAGCCCCCTGGTCGGTGTCATTTGTTAGAGGGCTGGCACCCTGGAGATATTGTCCAGGTCTTTACTCACCTTAAGCAAGCACATTACCACTGGACTCTCTCCCCAGTCCCTTATTCATTGCTTTATACTTAGTATGCTCTGTTGTGTCTGAGTAATAAATACCTGGTCATGACAGACATGGTGGCACACTCCTGTAACCTTGAGCGTTCAAGGCAAGATAGACTAACAGCAAGACCATCTTAAAAAATACAAAATCTCCATGGTGTGTGGAGCATGCCTACATTACCAGTACTTGGGAGACCAAGGTGGGAAGTTTGCTGAAGGTCAAGGCCAACGTGAGCTACATATTAAGTTCAAGGCCAGCCAGGACAACTTAGCAAAGCTTGTCTCACTGGCCAGTGACATGGCTCAGGATGTAACGGTGCTTGCTGCCGAGCCTGATTAGTTCCACCTTTAGTCCCACCTAGTGGAAGCAGAGGGTTAACTATTACAAGTTGTCCTCTGACCTCCACATATATACAGTGGCACATGTACATACACACAGTCTCTCTCTAAATATACAAATTAAAAAAATCTGTCTCCAATGAATAGATGAATGAATGAAATGGGCTTTAGGATAAGTTACTATGGTAAGTCTTTGGGCTTTTTTTGAGCCCCATTAATTATGATGTACTTTGTAGGGTTAAACCTTAAGCTGCCCAATCTTGACTTTGAGAATTAACAGTATGAGACTCCACACCTCCCTATATCTGCACACTACCATTAGTTATAGCTATGTTCAGCCAGAAGTTTTTTGAAGAAATATCTCTATGAGCAAGATAAGCATAAGAGGGCTGGAGAGATGGCTCAGAGGTTAAGAGCACTGCTTATTCTTCCAGAGGTCCTGAGTTCAATTCCCAGAAACCACAGGGTGGCTCACAACCATCTACAATGAGATCTGCTGCCCTCTTCTGTCGTGCAGACATACTTGCAGGCAGAACACTGTTTACATACTAAATAAATCTTTAAAAAATATATAAGCATAAAATATATATATGCATAAGAAAGCAATCAATGTAACATTACTCCTAAGGCTTGACTATACTTACAGGGTGTGTGGCTAGAGAAAAACACAAAAGACAGGTCAGGTCTGAGCTTCCACAGTCCTCTTTGAGTCCCTGGCACAAAGACACTATCTTCTTTCAGGACGGCTGCCAAATGGAGCTGATGGAGAAGGTATCTGAGGGTTGCAAGAGAACAGATGTAGCTCCGGTTACTTTACATACAAACTGAGGGCCTAGCATATGCAACACCCTTGGCTTGACTCCCAGCACCATCAAATTAGTTAAATGGAGGGAAAAGAATAAACAAATTTCTGGGTTAAAGAGAGCTCTCTGGCTGGGTGATTAAAGGAAAGGATTACAGTTGAACAACGAGACTGGTAGTGATCTGGCATCATGGTGCCAGAAATGAGTCCTTTGTAAGGGTCAGGAAGATCTCAGGCTTTGCCCTGGACCCACTGAAATCAGCCATCTTGTCCACTCCCATCCTGTGCTGGGGTTTGAACCCAGAGGCCTGATGTGCTAGGCAAGAGCTCCATTACTAAGCTTACACCCTGCCACCAGAAACCTGGAGTTTTCTGTTTGTTTTGTTTTTTGTCAAGACAGGATTTCTCTGTATAAAAGCCTTGGCTGTCCTGGAACTTGCTTTGCAGACCAGGCTGGACTCAAACTCACAGAGATCCACTTGCCTCTGCCTCCCAAGTGCTGAGATTAAAGGCGTGCAAAACCACACCTGACAAGAAACCTGAGTTTAAACAGGTGATTCTAAGACATTCTCAAGAATCACAAATATGGAATCTGGTATTTCAGAGTGATGCAATCTACATTAGCTTTGAGCTTATTAGAAATCAAACCCCACCCCCCAGACATGTTCAACCAAGACTCTTTGTCGAGGGGCGGGGGTATGTCTTTACCTCTGGAAACTCCTTCTGGCTATGATCTCAGCATGGCTGTCATTGAGGATGTCTCCTATGGCAAAGACAGGAGATATGGAATGAATGAGGCCTGGGATCTGGAGAGGCTGGCAGAAAATAGCAGTACCCCGCCAGCACTCAGGATGGCCATGTTATCTCCAGGAGGGCTTTGTGAGAAAGTGTCACAGTCATTAGTGGCGATGTACTTGCAGCTTGAGTTTCTCAACATTTGGGACCATAAAATTCTTTGTTGTAGGGGGAAAGCCTATAAAATATAGGACAAGGGGTGTGTGGTGGTACATGTCTTTAATCCCAGCACTCAGGAGGCATAGGCTGGTGGATCGTTATGAGTTCAAGGCCAGAGTAGTCTACACAGTGAGTTCCAGGTCAGTCAGAGGTACATAGAGAGACTCTGTCTCAAACTCACACACACACACACACACACACACACACACACACACACACTTATTCTCTCTCTCTCTCTCTCTCTCTCTCTCTCCCTCTCTCTCTCTCTCTCCATAGAGAGACCCTGTACAGGACCCTTTATCCAGAAGATGCCAAGAATACACCATCCCATGTGGTGATGACCAAAAATACTTCTGGACAATGCCAAAGGTACCTTAGGTACAAAATTGCTATTGGTTGCTGGATCCATGGTAGTGCTTGTAGTTCCTGGCTTAGGCAGGGATACTGTGAATTTGAGGCCAGTCTGAACAACATAGCAAGTTCTAGATGAACCTGGGCTACATATTGAGATCCTATCTCAAAATGGTAAACAAACAAACAAAAACAAAATAGACCAAACAAAACAAGAACTATCTCTAGTTGAGATGTATTTTTTAAATGATTAGGGATTGAATCTAGTACCTTATGCAGCTAGGCAAGTGCATTGCCCCTGAGCTATATCCTCAGATTCTTTTGATTTTTTTTAAAAAAGGTTATCTTATTACATTTTCATTATTTAATTTGTATATATGTGCCATGATGTATGCACATGTGACACAATATGCCTGTGGATAGAGATCAGAGGAAATTCAAAGCAGTCATTTTTCTCTTTTTACCATGTGGGTCCTGGGAATCAAACTTGGCGGTGACAGTCAAGATCTCCCAGTACAGCTCTGGCTGGGGTGGGCTTATCCACAGAGATCCACCAGTCTCTGTCTCCCAAATGCTGGGCTTAAAGGCATGAACCACCAACTCTGACTATTTATGTACTTATTTATTGAGCAGGCTTTCTTTGTATAACTCTGGCTGTCCTGGAACTAGTTCTATAGGACCAGGCAGGCCTTGAACTCAGAGATCCACCTGCCTCTGCCTCCTGAGTGCTGGGATGACATGGAGATTCACTAAGCTGGTTAAGCTCTTCAACTCTATCTGTAGCCGAAGGGATTGCAGGCTTTTGCCCCCTGGCTACAGAAATCCTCCGTCTGTAAATCAGGGATGGAGATACCTTATGCCATGGTATTGTATTCATGCTTATGGTGACACATCTCCATAATGGGTCTGAGACAGTTCCCTCATTTACGGGAGATGTAGCATGGAGAATGGGACTTCCACATTCTTGTTGATACCAAAGGTCTATTTAATTCAAGATTGCTTTGTGGGGCTTCAGAAGCTACTCCGGCTGCTTCCTACCAGCTGCTAAGTCTTAATCCCTCTAGATAGAATATGGAACTACTAAACCCTGGGAACCTTTGATTTAAACATGAAAATACTCGCTGACTTTGGCTTTCAGAAGCATGTTCCCTATGTTTTTGCACTGATTTGGATCTCCCCCATCTCCTATGCTACTCTTTAACTTCTTGCCACAGCCTCTGGATTGTGTTGGGATTACAGGTGTGCACCACCAAGTTCAGCTCTGAACTTTCATTTTAAAAAATGGACAGTCTTCCAATTGGCAGGACAATCTATAGGAAATGAGGGGTCAGCCACTCCAACCAGCATGGTCCCGTTTTGTTGACAAGGGGACTACAGGTCAGCATGGACGAAGGCACAGAGGTAACCTTTGAGAGCCCCTCCTTGCTTACCGCTCTTCCTCATCTTGGACTGGCCTATACATTTCGTTCCTGTTCCCATTGAGACAACTTCCTTTGTCACTGAGAGGAAAAAAAAAAAAAGAAAGAAATCATTAACTGAACTCTCAGAGGCCCAACGATTCCTAATGTTAAGGTTTAATAAGTCCACATGTCTCCTTTCCCCAGAGGACTCCCACAGGTGGACTCAACCAGGAGTGCAGTTCCCTTGGGATGGTTTGCCACCACCAGGAGTAGTGCGCCACTTGGTGGAGATAATGGGAAACACCTAACACCATAGTTCACATCCTGTGCAGCACTGTCTGAACAGTCTATGGTTGCTGACAGGGAGAAAAGGTCTCACCTGGCACTTCCTTATCAGTGGCGTCACAAACTTGGTTAGCTGGAGACTGTATCTTCACCACGGCTGCCAGCAAAGTCCATTCACGGTTTGGCTCAGGCTTCCCCTGCTTGGGCAGTTTGACACTATAGTGTGCATAGCACAATTGAGCAATTTCATCTGCTGTCCACATAGTTGGAGCTGGAGCTGAGGACATGAAAAAAGCCAAAACTATCAGAATAGAAAGGAAAAGCAGTATGCTTCAGCAGACTCGAATGTAGCCGAAGAGTGCTCAGACTAAGGCTCATTTTTTTCCTACCAATCTCCCTTCCCCCACATCTTTAATAAAGAGAGAGTCGCAACTCCCACAAGACATGTTATTGCTTCAAGATTAAAACAAGTTATGCTGTAACAGTTAATGAATCTGGATTTACTATGTTTTACACTGTCCTTTCAAATGTCACGCTTTGGGCAGATCTTCACCCTACAAAGTTACTTTCTGGACAATGTTCTTTTCCTCCTTTTTCCCCAACAGAAGAGTCAATCTACCTCACTCCAGCAAATTTCCGAAGTCTCTCACTGATGTTTTCACAATGGTTGTACTTAAGGGTGTGGGCATAGAGTTGTACTTTCTAGGTTTCAATTCCAGATTTACCAGATTAACTTTGTGATTATTGGGTAGATTAATTTTCACATCTGTTAAGACATGGATAATAGTTGGGCAGTGGTGGTGCACGCCTTTAAGCCCAGCACTCAGGAGGCAGAGGCAGGCAGATCTTAGTTGAAGGCCAGCCTGGTCTACAGAGTTAGTTCCAGGGGGCACCCAATGCTACACAGAGAAACTTGAAAAACAAAAACAAGACCCAGAAAAAAACATGATAATAAATAGGACTTAACCTTTTTTCTTTTTAAAAATAGGGTTTCTCTGTGTAACAGCCATGGTTGTCCTGGAACTAGCTCTGTAGACCAGGCTGGCTTCAAACTCACAGAGATCTACCTGCCACTTCGAACCCCCCTCCCCGACCCCAGGAGTGCTGGGATTAAAGGTGTGTGTCTCTACCACCTGGCTAGTATTTAGCATACTTTATAAACACAAAAGCAAATGTCTTTAACAATGTTGAATGTGATTAACATTACAAAAATACATCAAGTGGTGATCTGGGAAATTTGAGTTGGTGGGGGAGAGTAAGGATTGTAATGGGCACATAAGCCATTTATATAAAAACAAACAAAACATTAAGTGGATCATATCTTTTAGGCCCGAGACATTTGCAGAAAGGCTCCCACTCTTGGCTGTTAGTGCTCAGTGGATATATCTTTACTTCACCTGATTATATGAGCTCATATGATGGATAGACATAGCAGAGCATTTGTAGCATAAACAATAGAGTAGTTTTTACTGAGCTCAGATATGATGTTTCTGCAAAGTATTTCTACAATTTCTGCAAGATGCAGGCCCATTTTTGCGGAAATGGTAATAATTATTCTGGCAGAGACTGACAGTTAAAGTCTAATGCAGAGAGGTCTTATATTTTTCTTTCTTCCTTCCTTCCCTCCTTCCTTCCTTCCTTCCTTCCTTCCTTCCTTCCTTCCTTCCTTCCTTCCTTCCTTCCTTCCTTTCTTCCTTTTTTTTTACGAGATAGGGCTTCTCTATGTAGCTTTGGAGACTGTCCTGGAACTAGCTCTTGTAGACTAGGCAGATATGGAACTTCGCCCGCCTCTGCCTCCCAATCGAGACAGGGTTTCTCTGTGTTAACAGTCCTGGCTGTCCTGGAACTCACTTTGTAGACCTGCCTGCCCCTGTCTCCCAAGTGCTGGGAAAGTCTTGTATTTCTAGGAATATAAACATGAGAGATCCTAGAATCCTTTGTTCCAGGAAGGCAGCACAGAACAGTTTATTTTATGGAGTTAGAAACCTGCCATCATCGTGCAATTAAATCAGAGGCACATATTACAAATTACAAAAACCAAGGGGAAGGGAGCAGCCCAAACTACATCACGTCATCTAGGCAGCCGACTGAAGGACCACGCACGCGGTAGCTGAATGTTTCGATATTCTGGGTCCGCTGTAATTCTTGTCTACAACTCCCATTTAAAGACCTTAAAAAATTCCTTCATACGAAGCAACTCAAATAGGCAATTCTTTGACAAATAACAATCGCAAAAAGCTGAAAAACCCACTTCTTTTCCCACTCTTCCTACCCCGAGGAGGGGTTCCGCGGGACAGGAGCGCCTAGGAGGACCGTAAGACCCCTCCCCGTGGGAACAGAGGTCACGTGTCCTCACAGCCTCTTCCCACACGAGGCCAGCTGTGTAGACCTGGCCCCGAGATCCCGTTATCCACGCGCCACAGCCCACGCCTCCACACGAACAACCAGCTAGCGCCACAGAACCCGGTTGTGCGGCGGAAGTGACGCTAAACGACAGCTTGACTCAAACTCTGCCCGCAAAGCACCCTGGCTTTTGTAGTCCTTGGGTGGGAGCGGAGCAAATTCGGAGATGTGCAGTGAGATAAGGTTTCAAAACTCAGTTTAGCTCTGATTTTTGAACAGCACTATGATCAGATTCTCTATCTCCCACCTCACTCATAACAATTCCTGCACGACTGACATGGCTCCTCATTCTTCAGGGGTAACATTAGTTGTTACCCTATGTATATATATGAATACATATACAGCCCTTTGTCTATTGTATGTAAAATATCACCACAGTCCTCTAACCCCCTGATCAATGTTTTTTCTTGGTGTGCACCTCCAAAAAAAGAACATGTACTTGATCTTGTCGTGTTCTCCCTCAACTTCCCTCTCAAGCCCTAAAGAAAATAGTAGTTTTGTTTTTGTTTTTGTTTTTTCAAGACAGGGTTTCTATGTAGTTTTGGAGCCTATCCTGGCACTCGCTCTGGAGACCAGACTGGCCTCAGACTCACAGAGATCCGCCTGCCTCTGCCTCTTGAGTGCTGGGATTAAAGGCGTGCGCCACCAATGCCCAGCTAAGTAGTAGTTTTCATGGAAGTAGTGATTTGATTTTTGTTTGCTGCTGTTTTCAATATTTCAGAACAATGCCTAGTATTGAACTGACTATATAACTTTGTTCAAAGACTACGACTGCAGATGAGACCGCGTTGGCTCAGGAGTTAGTGCACATCTTGCTCTTGCAGAACTGGACTTTGGTTCTCAGCATTCATGTTGGACAGCTTACAACTGCATGTAACTCTAGCTCCAGAGGATCCAACCTGGCCTCAGAGGGCACCTGTACTATAACATGCACACACAGAATTAAAAATAAAAATAAGCCGGGCTTTGGTGGTGCACACCTTTAATCCCAGCACTCAGGAGGCAGAGGCAGGTGGATCTCTGAGTTCGAGACCAGCCTGGTCTACAGAGTGAGTGCCAGGATAGGCTCCAAAGCTACACAGAGAAACCATGTCTCGAAAAACCATAAATAAATAAATAAATAAATAAATAAAAAATAAAAGTAAATCTTAAAAAAAATTATAAGCTGGGTAGTGGTGGTGAACACCTTTAATCCCAGCACTTGGGAAGCAGAGGCAGGTGGATCTCTGTGAGTTCATGGACAGCCTGGTCTACAAAGTGAGTTCCAAGACAGCCAGAGTTCTTACACAGAGAACTGCTGTCTCAAAAAGCAAAATGAAACAAACAAAACAAAACAAATGTATAAAAACAGAGTCCTAAACATTCATTAGACCAGTAGTTTGGGGGAAAAAAATGTAACATTACATAGGTAAAGAGAGAAATGGTTTATTTGGTAATAAGGAATAAAAAGAAATCCTTTAATTCTTCTCTCTTCTGGTGGTTGAATTGCAGTGGCCAGAGGGATGGCAACACTTAGACCAGGTCTGCTGAAATGCAGAGAAGCCAGAGTTTCATTTATCTTCTAGACAGAGGGGCCGGCTGTTGTGCTTTCTAGTGTTTCAGTGGCTGCTGCAGTTTCCTTCTTGTCTTCAGGCTTCATGGCAGGAAACAGAAGTACTTCCTATAGAAGAGCAAAACATACTTTGAAATTAAGAAGCACCATGAGCTTGGTATAGTAGCACAAGTCTTTAATCTCAGCACCTGGGAGGTAGAAGCAAGTGGATCTCTACAGAGTGAGTTCCAGGGCAGCCTCCAAAGCCACAGAGAAACCCTGTCTCAAAAAACAAAAAAAGAAAGCAAAAAACCCAAAACAAGAAACCAAGAATATGTTTTTTTTTTTTAAACAGCTATTCTACTATTGCTCTATTTATTTATTTGTTTGTTTGTTTGTTTATTTATTGAGACAGAGTTTCTCTGTCTTGGCACTCGATTTGTAGACCAGGCTGGCCTCGAACTCACAGAGATCCACCTGCCTCCACCTCGTGAGTGCTGGGATTAAAGGCGTGCGACACCAACACCCGGCTATTATTAGTTTTTTAAAAGTGAACTTCCTCCTAGGCACACATCAACACAATCTGAGTTCTGGAAGTAGAGAGGCAGGAATATCAGGAGTTCAAGGTCACTGTACACTACGGATGGAGTTCCAAGAGAGCCCTGTTGTGGGATATTTGTACACTATATGTTGCTGTAACTGTGTAATAAAAAGATGAATGGCTACTAGCTAGGCAGGAGGTATAGGCAAGACTTCGGGGTAGAGAGAGGAAATAGGATGGGCAGTACTGAGAGATGAGGTATCAAGGCACGTGACTGAAGGTAGATGAGCCCAGCTACCTGAGACAGTCTCAAAGACAGTAATGATAAATGAACAACAAATGGATTTCCTTCTCTATAAAGTACAATAAAAACAGTGTTCACACCTTACAGAACTGACTGATATGAAGCAATACATTTGAGAGGACTTAGCATTCCCCTGGATATTAAAGAAAAGCAAACTATTAGTTACCCCCCCCCCAAGTAGGACAAACTAAAATCCTGTAAGTCTTTATCTAAAACCCTTTAGTCTTCTACTGTAGAGTGGGTTATGGAACTTCTTCAGCGTTTCCTTTATTTCCCAGGCCCTCCATGTTCTGTGCAGTGGAGTTCTGGGGAAGCATGTATTGGGAAGTCTGTACATACCTTGATATTGTTGGAATCTGTGAGAAACATGGTGACTCGGTCGATACCCATGCCCCAGCCAGCTGTTGGGGGCAGTCCATATTCCAGGGCAGTACAGAAGTTCTCATCTATGAACATGGCTTCATCATCACCAGCAGCCTTGGCCTAGAATAAATAGTCAAATGTAATAATCGTCTAGCCAGTGGTTTTCAACCTTCCTTATGCTGCATCCCTTTAATGCAGTTCCTCATGTTATGGTGACCACCAGCCATAAAATTATTTTCATTGCTACTGCAGAACTAACTTTGCTACTGTTATAAATTGTAATGTAAATATCTGATGTGTGACCCCTAAAGGGGTTGCAACCCACAGGTGGAAAGCTGCTGTTCTAGATCATCTCAGTATCCACACAGACACTTTCAAAAGAGGTACCAAAAATGCTCCTGACATTCAAGACTCACTGGGAACTGATTTCCTGGTAACTCTAGGTTAGGATTGATGAAACCTACCTCAGAGATGAAAGCCATATTTTAAGTGAATGTGATTGGACATACCTGTAGTTCCAACACTTGGAAGGCTGAGGCAGAAGGATTGACAAGAGTTGGAGACTAGTGTGGTTTACATAACTAATTCCAGGCCAGCTAAATAGTGAGATTTTGTCTCAAAAAGCCAACAGGGGCAGGTAGCCCTCATTATTTTATAGAAATAATATACAGCAATTAAAAACCTTTTTTTTTTTTTTTTTGGTTTTTCAAGGGTTCAAGGTTCTGAGTTTCAAAACCAGCCTGGTTTACAAGAGAGAGTTCCAGGATAATCAGGACTGCCCCCCCCCCCCCCAAAAGAGGCATAGTATAAGAAAAAGTGTGTTCTTGCTAAATGAATGTGTTTGTAAGATGAGTGCCTTTCTCCATAGAGTCGATCTTAAATGCATTTTACAAGTCATATACTCAAAGCCCCAAGTTTCAGCTTGGTGTGGTTGTATGGCGCTAATCCCAGCCCTAAAAGATAGAGATAAGAGGATCAAAGAATTCAAGGGCAGCCTTGGCTACCTGAGACACTGTCTCAAAAACTTCTTCCTATAAAACCTCTTTATGGGCTGGAGAGATGGTTCAGTGGTTAAGAGATCCTCTTCCAGAGGATCCAGGTTCAATTCCCAGTGTCCACACAATGGCTCACAACCATCTGTAACTCCAGTTCCAGTGGATCTAACTCCCTTTTCTACCCTCCTTGAGCACTGTGGGCACGTGGTATACGGAGACACATGCTGGCAAAACACCCATACACTTAAAAAAAAAAAAAAAAAAAATTAAAAAGCCTCTTTCGCTTTGGTTAAAATGCTAAGAAAGTGTGTATCAACATAGGGTTAAGGCCAGTGCTTCTTGGTATGTGAGCTCAGTGGTGAAACAGATTCCATTGCTCACTCTCCTTCATTACCTTGGCCTGTTCTTCAAACAGCTGTCGCTGCCGCATGGGATCATTCAGCTCAGTGTAGGCATTGCAGATTTCCTTCTTCATGACAAACAGCTCAAAGCGTTCAGTTAGACCCTCTTTGGAGCGGTGCCTGGGAACACGAGACCACAGAGGATGAATATTCAGGGCTCTCATAATGTAATGCCTGACTCAAAAATTGAAACGTGAAGCCTCATCAGTGCTGGTACCAGAGTGAAGGTGAGAGAGGCCAGAAGTTTGATTATATTCCTAACAAGCAGAGCAGCTGACTGAAATCAAGCCTTCTGCTTTGCTCTCATACTCTAGGCACCCACTTGCTTTGGTCAGGGAGCTATCAGCAAAGGTCTAGCATATGTTTGCTTGTTGAGACTTTTTCTTCTAGAATGCCTGCCTCGGGAAACCAACCGCCATGCAGATAGACAAAAGCCAGACTGAGTTAGTGTATCAATACATGGTGCAAAAAGACCATGAAGTCAATCAGAGCATGATCACTTGTGTAGGTACAGCCCCAGCCCTACTTGAGGGGTTTTTATGCAGCAACAAACTGTATATTACCATTTGGCCAGAGGGCTCATAATCTGTGGGTGATCGCAGATGAATGTAGGATTGATGCATGTCACTTCGAGGAACTCACCAACAAGCTTAGTGAGAAAAAAAAAAGCAGAATTAGATATGGCATCTGAATATCACTCACAGTCCCAGCCCAAAGGGAGGCCTTAGCTCTAGTGCAGATGGGACAGAGGACAGAGTATTAACATAGATAATATACATGAACTATTGGGCACAGAGCATATTACAGCTCAAAGTTTCTTTTTGCTTGGATTTCATGGGCTGGAGAGTGAACCAGCCCCTTCCCAGGTCTTGACTTGCTAGGTGAGTACTCTACCACTGAGCTACATTTCCCAAGCCCAGTTCAAAGTTTCTTAATTCTGT